GGGAGAACTTGCACAATTGGTGGCTGACTAAATACTTTTTTTCCCCACTGTATATATATATATATATATATAATAGATAGTAAGTATAGACCGGAAGTAGAGGCCTGGGCATTGTTGTTCACTAATTTACTCCAAGTAGGGAAAGGATGGCGGGGTTGAAAAGTAATAAAGGGGAGTATATATATAAAAAACATGGGGGATTGGAAGTGATGCAGACAATTAAATTGATAGAAGATACAATCTATCTGCAATATTAAGCTGATCCACCCCCCCCCCCCCAAAAAAAAAAAAAAGAAGAAGAAACTCGAGGAGACGGGTGAAGTGGAGGGACGTACAGTGGGGGAAAACATTATTTAGTCAGCCACCAATTGTGCAAGTTCTCCCACTTAAAAATATGAGAGAGGCCTGTAATTTTCGTCATAGGTACACGTCAACTATGACAGACAAATTGAGAATTTTTTTTCCAGAAAATCACATTGTAGGATTTTTTATGAATTTATTTGCAAATTATGGTGGAAAATAAGTATTTGGTCACCTACAAACAAGCAAGATTTCTGGCTCTCACAGACCTGTAACTTCTACTTTAAGAGGCTCCTCTGTCCTCCACTCGTTACCTGTATTAATGGCACCTGTTTGAACTTGTTATCAGTATAAAAGACACCTGTCCACAACCTCAAACAGTCACACTCCAAACTCCACTATGGCCAAGACCAAAGAGCTGTCAAAGGACACCAGAAGCACAATTGTAGACCTGCACCAGGCTGGGAAGATTGAATCTGCAATAGGTAAGCAGCTTGGTTTGAAGAAATCAACTGTGGGAGCAATTATTAGGAAATGGAAGACATACAAGACCACTGATAATCTCCCTCGATCTGGGGCTCCACGCAAGATCTCACCCCGTGGGGTCAAAATTATCACAAGAACGGTGAGCAAAAATCCCAGAACCACATGGGGGGACTTAGTGAATGACCTGCAGAGAGCTGGGACCAAAGTAACAAAGCCTACCATCAGTAACACACTACGCCGCCAGGGACTCAAATCCTGCAGTGCCAGACGTGTCCCCCTGCTTAAGCCAGTACATGTCCAGGCCCATCTGAAGTTTGCTAGAGTGCATTTGGATGATCCAGAAGAGGATTGGGAGAATGTCATATGGTCAGATGAAACCAAAATAGAACTTTTTGGTAAAAACTCAACTCGTCGTGTTTGGAGGACAAAGAATGCTGAGTTGCATCCAAAGAACACCATACCTACTGTGAAGCATGGGGGTGGAAACATCATGCTTTGGGGCTGTTTTTCTGCAAAGGGACCAGGACGACTGATCCGTGTAAAGGAAAGAATGAATGGGGCCATGTATCGTGAGATTTTGAGTGAAAACCTCCTTCCATCAGCAAGGGCATTGAAGATGAAACGTGGCTGGGTCTTTCAGCATGACAATGATCCCAAACACACCGCCCAGGCAACGAAGGAGTGGCTTCGTAAGAAGCATTTCAAGGTCCTGGAGTGGCCTAGCCAGTCTCCAGATCTGAACCCCATAGAAAATCTTTGGAGGGAGTTGAAAGTCCGTGTTGCCCAGCGACAGCCCCAAAACATCACTGCTCTAGAGGAGATCTGCATGGAGGAATGGGCCAAAATACCAGCAACAGTGTGTGAAAACCTTGTGAAGACTTACAGAAAACGTTTGACCTGTGTCATTGCCAACAAAGGGTATATAACAAAGTATTGAGAAACTTTTGTTATTGACCAAATACTTATTTTCCACCATAATTTGCAAATAAATTCATAAAAAATCCTACAATGTGATTTTCTGGATATTTTTTTCTCATTTTGTCTGTCATAGTTGACGTGTACCTATGATGAAAATTACAGGCCTCTCTCATCTTTTTAAGTGGGAGAACTTGCACAATTGGTGGCTGACTTAATACTTTTTTCCCCCACTGTATATACCCCTGGCCCAGTGACTCGGTGACGAATGTTTCCATAGCCTCCGTTTCAGCCTGCGACAGGGGGTACACATGACTCCTGGGAGGTACAGTGTCTACCCGAAGGTTTATCACGCAATCCCCCGCCCGATGACGTGGTAATTTTGTCGCCTGTGTCTTAGAAAATGCGTGCGCCAGATCATGGTATTCGGGGGGAATGCACACGGTGGAGGTACTGTCTGGACTTTCCACCGTGGTTGCACCAATGCAAACACCTAGACACCTACCCTGACACTCTCGCGACCACCCCGTGAGAACGCTCTGCGGCCATGAGAAGGTGGGGTTGTGGAGTGCTAGCCAAGGGATACCTAATACCACAGGGAAAGCAGGAGACTCAATAATCGAAAAAGTAACCTGCTTCTGAAGGTATTTCCTGTCAGCTTCTTGTAAAGTTTAGTAAAATGTGTTACAGTAATGTTTCTCTTTCCTCTGATTGTTGGTTTATTTTTTTGAGAACCTTTGACTCTGGAATGCTGTAAAATAAATTCTCAAACACAAAGTCAAATCCCTAGCCCAGACTTCTCCAAAAGAGTCGACATGGTTTCTGAATTGTGTTTTCTTTTTGTGAAGCGAGTGGATTGGGCCCTGAGATATTTAAAGAAATCATTATTGATGTCTATCTTTTGTACCATACTAGAATACAAGTGACATGATTTCAGAGGGAGGTTAGAGGGTCAGTTATAATTTCCTTTGGGACTAAAAGGTGGCATTACCTAACTTTGGGCTTGATGTTTTTGGAGCCCTATCATACCCTCCATCTGCCCTGGCTACCTCCAAAGATTGCCTATTATATTGACAAGATAGTCAAGTGACCGCTCTAACAATGGAAATACATGTCCTCAAAGATGGAAGCAGGGATCAGGTGGGACCATTCTAGCCAATGAGAGGGCAGATACGCATGTGAACAACAGGCCATTGAGATAAATGGAGGACTCATCTTTGTATCTGTGCATTATAGCGTCTGTGACAGCTTGGGCAGCGCCATTGAGGCTATCTCAATTTTCTTCTTCATTGGCTGATTGCTCCCAACTCATAGAAATCCCCACCCAGTTGACTACCTTAAAATGGTGGAAGCCCTCAATTGCAATGTCCATGCTAAAATGGGTTACATACATGATGAGTCCTCTATCTATCTCTATGACAACAGGCACAACTCCGATATATAAAGTTGTATACAAATTTGACGAAATGACACGTGCGTCCACTTATATCAGTGAATTCGTAAGAAGCTAACCATTATGAAACGTATATTCAATCAAATAAGCCTCACGTAGCAAATTAGCAATTACCATTTTTGTTGACCAAATTCAACACTCATTGACCATACAATAATTCCTCACTTCGTGGGCTTATTTTCGTGGACAGATTTTAGGTGGAGTAAAACCTCTCGCCTCTCGCTTCACCTTTTCCTCTCTGCTACCTCTCATTTCACAAATCGTTGTCCCTTATAGCTTTCAAAGTGTCTTTGTACCGAAGCGCACAAGAGTGGAGAGCAAGAGTTCTAAGAGAGCATGAACATACTTGTTTACGGTGTGACTTTTATTGGCCAATAAAGCCTTTTACAGATGAAATTAAAACGTGAAATGCATGAAATATTGTTATTAATCTTCTTGCTGACAATTGTTTTCCTTTTCTTTACTCATCAGCAAACTATTTGAACAGACAGATGAAAGGCCACCCCCAACCTCATCACTGTAATCTCAGGGCCCTTTTCTTATCATTGAACTCTTCTTGACCCCGAGGCGTCCTCTGAAAAGCCTCTCCCTCTCGATTATAAATAATACCAATGGGCTGCTAATAGGTAATCTGATTGAGAGTTAGGTGGACTGATATGGTTCAACGAGGGGGCAAGAGTGCACCAGACATGCAAATGACATTAGAAGTGCTTTCATCCACCCTGCTACAAAGTGAAAAGTCACATTTTCACTCACATGAGGAGAAGCAAGGTGGGGAAAGTATTTGTTTAAGTGATCTTTACCTTTTCCTTGTATTTTCATGACCACTATTTTGCCACACTTGCCCTATACAAAGCCTGGTTCAGTCTGTTAGCTGTGTGCGTGCGTGTGTGCGTGTGTGCATGCGTGCGTGTGTGCGTGTGTGCATGCGCGCGCATGTCCATGCATGCTTAGGTGGCTTGACTACAGTGCATGAGGCTTGACTGTGCAGCCTTACAGGGTAGTTATATGATGGTCTAATCATGGTCAGAGAAGAACAAATCAATCAATCAAGTCTATGCAAAGCCACTTGAAGAACATCCTGAGAGCACAAAAATACTTTAAATAAACATTGAGGGATAAATATTTACTAGTATTTTAAGACACCATTCAGGCTTCCCATGAAGTCACATGCCTATCCTCTCCACACTCATCTGGAGGGTCTAACATCCTGTCCCTCTCTGTGTCACCTTTGGATTCAAATTCACTGTTGACATTGCCTAATGTCATTTGGGGTCTTATAATGCAGTACGTGTAATAGTTATTGTAGCATGGAGTGAAGGTAAACTGACGTGTGCCATAAGAATGGGCATACAACTAGGTCCATACAGTGTGATACAATAACAGGAAGTGGTGCTAATAACTATACATCCATATTTCCTCAAGCAATTGAACCAAAAATTATTTATTTGGGGATAGAAGAACAATTGACATGAAAACATTGGGCTCTATCAATGCCATGTCAGATAATTGGGAAAATGGAAATGGTTTTGATTTAAAGTGAAAAATCAACTGTTCATAATAATAGTCAATTTATTTTATTGAAAGCATTCCAAATGCAACAACACATTTAAGCTGCATGAAAATGATCAAGTTCAGCTTAAAAATAATTACATTTCAAAATATACATACAATTATTTGTCTCAAAACTATCGAAGTGCATTAACATGAAGTGCTTTTAAAAATGTTGCTTTTACAATTCTACTGGGGTTTACATAAATATCTCTAGTACAAAATATATGTAATATACATGATACGTCTATCTTAAATATGAACGTGTATTTACATAAATGTGAATATTTCACTATCAGTTGTTCTGGATACATTTGTCACCATATCTACTGAACTTTGTGGGCAGATTGTCCACTGGATAAACGGTTGGGCCTGTTTTCATTGTCGGGGGTCCGTTCAACAGAGTCCAGTCACATCTGGTGACCACCTCGACCAGGAACACCTTAAGTACAACCTTAGCAAACTCTTTACCCACACATGTCCTCGCACCACCCCCAAAAGGGATGTAACCGAACCGGGATAAGTCTTCTGGTGACTCGTCCAAGAACCTCTCTGGCTGAAACTCCTCCTTGTTTATAAGTGTGTCCAGCACATTGTGTGTGTCACAGATGCTGTAGATGACTTTCCAACCCTTGGGAATCTGGAAGCCCTGAGGAAACACAATTTAGGTTGTTAGGTGGGGTGGGTATGGCAATGACTTCCAACAATTTTCTTCCAAACATTATACAGTTTCTGAAAGCATTGCTGTATACAAGGAGCTGTATATTAATACATAGAGGTGCTACCATGTTGTGATTATATATTTGTAGAAAAACTAATGTACTATAACAGTACATGGTTTCCATTTTGTGGCTCTCAAAACACAATCAATTATGCCTCCTTTAAACTTTTAGGCTAAAATCTTGTGTAAATGTAATTTCAGAAGCTACAAAATAGGTTTACTTACATTGAGCTCAAACGTCTTCAGTGCCACACGGAAGCCACCAGGGACAGGAGGGTTTATACGGAGAGTTTCTTTGATGACACAGCCGGTGTACTTCAACTGCTCCAACAACTCAATACTCAGTGGTTTGTCCTCTGATTGGGCTCCCAACAAATGCTATAAATATATGAATATATTATAAACACATAGATAGTGGGACATGCATCTTGCAAGTGAGATGTACAGCAAATTCAATCAATTAAATATAGCCCTAGATTTGGAAGAATATAATTTATAAATACCTTAATGAGAGTTGTGTCTAATCTTAATTTCATCATAACCAAAAAAATATGGGCCTCCATTGATTATTATTTTGTTGTCATGGAAGACTGATTTATGGTTTCAAATCATGTAATTTTTTTTTTACAAAAATCAAGTGCTATTTGCTTGTGAAAATGTTGTTATTTTGTCTTTTGATGATACAGGGTGATACCAACCTTCTCCTGAAGCTCCTGGCGTATTTTACGCATGACATGTGCATGCAGCCCGAGAAACATCACCAGAGAGGTCGCAGTGCTCGCTGTCGTCTCGTGGCCACCGAATAGTAATTCGGTGGCAGACTCTTTTATCTCCTGAGGGAAACAAATAAAGAATGGTTCATATATGGAGTAAATGGCAGTGTATAAAATGAACTTGCTAAATGAAAGGCATCTGGTTACCTCCATGCTTAGTCGCTCCTCGTTCCTCTCTCCATTCTCAATCAATAACTGCAGAGCATCTTTATAGTTATTGTTGTTATCAATATTGGACAGCTTATTTTTGATGTTTTGCTCTATTTTTGAGTGGATGATGTTGCGCGCTCTCAGACCCTAAATGGAATTATGAAAAATATTGGTCAAAAATATTGTGCGCACACTGGAGCCCCATGTGATGCAGGCCAGGGCTGCTTTAATCAATACATCTTGTCATTTGACAGGCAACTTACCCGGTACAAGCCGCTGAAAGGAACATCGATTGGTAGGGAGAAAAGGTTATTTATCATTTCTTTGAACGCTTCCACTAATTCCAGCTCGTCGGTCTTTGTTTGCTCGGGCTCGAAGCCAAGCAGGATCCTCATTGAGATGCGGAACATGAGGCGCTTCATCTCTGGGTACACTAGCACGCAAGAGTCGCTTTGCAGCCAGCTATGCACTGCGCATCTCACCTCCTCCCGGATCACAGGAATATACTCTTTCAGGGCTTCTCGGGAAAAGGCTTTCATAATCGCCTGCAGGCAAACAGGAGAGAGCGCTTTAAAGGCACGTTATAAGGACACCGCTGTGAAAAGGCAAGGTAAATGACAAATTGTTTTTCATCATAAGCATAAACCATGAACTTCCTACACAGACATGTAGGCTACTCTACATCTGCGTATTTCCTACCTTTTTCTTGCTCTTGTGGAGCGCGCCATGCGCATTGGAGAGGGCGTGCGACCCGAGAATGAGTCGCACTGATGCCGGCCACTGAGCCGCAACCAATTTGTGTTCCGACATCAGAATCTGTTTCACATGTTCTGAACCCATTACCCGCACCGTGGGACTCCCAAAGAGATGCGTCTTATAAATATATCCATATTTCTGACGTTTTATTTTTAGGAATTTTCTTCTCTGGAAATATAAATAAGGAGAATAATGTATGAATGGATACTGTAAATGTCATACATATAAATGGCTTGAATTAGGCTACATAACAATCTTTCAATTTATTCAATAGCATACTGTTTTCTGGTTGGACCTTTGAGCCTGATGCATAACCCTAACCCTAACTAATCAATAGCAGCCTGCTGCACACTGCAAATATAGGGAGGAACTGAGTTTGCAGTTTATGTTTCCATCATCAGTTACCTGTAGGACCATCTGAAGCGTCTCGCCAAGGAAGGGCAGTCCCATGGTACCTGGAGGAAGAGGACTCTGGCAGGTTGGATCACTTCCACTAATGACGTACATTTCCCACAGTTTCATCGCCGTCACAATCAGAAGGAGTGGGAGCAGGAGAGTGCAAAGACATGTTACGAATAACGTGTAGAAACCCATCTCGAGGAGAAGTGTACGGATGGACCGCAGGAGTGAACTGGTATGTCTCACCCTCCATTCTGCGCTTTTATACGCCCGTTTCCCCCACAACTCTTTGCCCCATCTTACCTTGGGTCAGACAAATTAGTTCACTCATAGTTCATCTTTAATTGTGCAGCTCTTGCTCGCTCGCCCCGTGCTCCGCCCACAGTGTACGGGCCGGAATGTTTAACCACTTATTGGGTGCGCATAGGCTACCACCTATACCGTATCCCCACAACACAAGCATTTGGCTTTGAAAATGACCTCTTCAGTTACCCAATATATAATGTTCTTAATTTACAGCGTGCACCCATCGATGTAGTTGTGTTAGGGCCCACATAGTATGAGACTAATCGGGCTTGTTTACTTTAGAATCATGTATTATACTTTCCATGAAGAGGACACCCAAGCCTTTCGCATGCGTCAGTAGGCTATGAGAAGCGCTGCCTCTTTGTTCACTTTGTATGCATATCAATGTATTGTCCTATATTTTTCAAACGGCAACGAATTCATGTTTTGTATTTAGTTTAGGCTACTCTATGGGGCTTACAGTTAATTATTATATTACTTTGAAATGGCGATGCCATCTAACACTCTACAAATCCCCATCCTCTGTGGACCCTCTGTTTAAAACCCATGACCGCAGCGCGATTCCAACAGAGGTAGGGGCAGCGACGCTCTATCCCATTCCCATGCGCTGACCTACATGTGACCTACAACACAGACCGTGACATCCGTGTGGACTCCTGCGCCAAAACGTGGCCAAGTTCACTGTCCATCAAATAACAAATTACAGGGCCCTATAGCACACATAATTAGAGAGGGGTTCGCGTCATTATAGTCTTTACAGTCGTTTATTCTGTCAATCATGATAATCAAATTGAGGTCATAATTATACCTTCTCTCAATCTAGGCCTAATGAGATCAGGATTTCATACAGGTTTTTCAATGTCTCAATGAACCTATATGGAATATAGCCTACAATTTAGCATCATTTCAACCTTTTTGAAGGGTAATTTTATGTTAAAGTTATGTTAAAGTTGGTAGGTGGTCGGAGTGTTTAAATCAAGTTTCTTACCTATAATTAATCATTTCCGTCACCTATAGAGGAAATTCAGATAGTGAGCTATAGGCCTAGAATTCTTTGCTGTGAAAATGATGTTGTAAAATATCATTGGTGTTGTGATCACAGCCTGTGAAGCGCAGCTAACAAAGCCGTCAACTAAATTGAGGGTCAATAGGGCAGAATTAACTGGTTCACTAGAGGGTCACACTGCCATCCGAGTTCACTCTGAAGGTGTAATCTCTTGCAGGTTCAGTTCATTTTAGAGGGCGGAGCCTGTCAGATGATATGCAAATCTTCCTTGTGGTTATGGAATTCAATGTTATGAGTTGGTGAACGAAAACAGACCCAATTAACGAATAAGACTTTACACTTTACGCTACCAATTGACTATATTTCGGCATATCCTGTTAAAAACATCCAATATTTAATGATAGATTGAATAGGCTTATACTGTGATAATACTGGCACACTTTTCAAATGTGATATGATTAAAACCTTAACCATTTTATCTATGAACAAGTTCACATTTTTCTTTTTATAGAACGGGAATCTATACATTGTGGTAACATGATGGAAACAATTGCACATTTTGTCATGGTAGAATTTCCTATCCTATGGCAAAAATACACGTTTTTTGTAATTTAATTTTTACATCGTTCTATAGATAATACGAGCAATACACAAAAAAATACACACATTGAATCAATAGGACAAATACTGTATATACACACTCCGTTAAGGAGAAAAAGTGCTATCTCCTTCCATGAATCCATCTTAACCGAGTCATTTCACAGCGCTTCCATCATGCTTCAAAATCAACAAGCGATTATTCATAAAGATGACACATGTAATGATAATAATAGTAATTGGTTATATTCTCTAGGTAACGTTATATAATTGCATTTTGATGTATAGCCTCTAAATAATCGAATAAAAACTATAGGCCTATATGGTTTGTTTTAACGGTCTATGCTTTACATTGGTTAATGTCTTGTGATATCTAAATAACTAGGTCTATTCATAATTATTCCATCTTAACACAGACACCCGAAATGTTCTATAAATAAAGCTTATTTGTACTACTTCATTTTATACACACATAACATTATTTAGCCTATAGCCTACTGTAGGCCTAAATGTCATTTATATCTACTCACATAGGCCTACTGGACATTTGGAAGGTATTTCTAAATGTATTTCCTGGAGACCAAATGCAAGATCTGTAAGTCAGTTTCGCATTACAGACGGACATTTATAATAAGTCCTGAGCACAGATAATGTTTGTTCTGAGAGGAAAGCCCTACTCGTCCATTGTATATTGAATTACGGTGCTTAAATAGGATATATAATCTTTCGATTTGCTATGTTATAGAAGTGAGCGCCCGGATGTCCGTGAACAATAGCAAAAGTTTGCCGTCACTTTTCCCAGTGCGTGAAAAAAGGCGATCTTGGCGATAAGCAGGTCATCGCAGGTCACTGGCACCATGCCTTGCTTCCACTCTTCAATGACCACCATGTTTCTCCCATTTCCATGATCTTCGGAACGAAGAGGAAAGGTTTCTTGATGATGTATTCTGATTGAATAACTTAATATTGCAATTGCGAAAAGTTCATGAGCTTAATGTCTTTAATAACACAAGTACATATCTAAACTCTATCGGAGTAGGCTATTGTAATTGAAATGCACATGCAGTCCATTGATGGGATGGACTATTGGCACCGTCTGCATCTTGGGGAATGTTTCCGTGGCGAGGGTCCATTTGCACGTGCCAATCACCTCAACCGCCAGGGTTTTTAATATCATTTGGGCAAGTTCCTTTCCGACACAACTCCTTATTCCGCCACCAAATGGAACGTAATTAAAGCGCCCATTCTTGCTCTCTTCACGCTCGGAACCGAAGCGGTCTGGGTCAAAGATCTCAGGGCTCTGGAACACTGCAGCTGTCTCATGGGTGTCTCGGATGCTGTACATCACACTCCATCCTTTAGGAATCTGGTAGCCCTTGGAAGTAGAGGGACAAAACAAAAATTCAAACTTCAACACAATCCTGACAAGATAAAAGTCGCTATTGGCAAGTTAAACCTCTTTATGGTCAGATTTAATGCTCTTTGACTTTCTGAAATGTTAAGGCAGTATCATCTGTACCTCACAACATATCACATAGACCATAAACATAAATATTAATCATATCAATTGTAAGTTAATCAGTATTAATCAAGTTTTAATAACCCGACTAGAATACATCTCATTTTATTCATCATTGGGCAAATGGCCTAATACAGGATATCCAGACGGCTTCAAAGTTATTTATGCTTTTAACCGATTGATCTCAGTTCACTCTATCCCTCATCTCAAATCATAGCCTACGTGAATCTATTGGTAACTTTATGGAGCAATGATTGGGAGATGCACTTAAGCGCACACGCATTATGGTCTATTGAAAACTCACCCAATTAAAAAAGACTGAAATAGCGTTGTATCTGCTTTCGAATAATGATTTATGTTCTAGCCAGTTGAGGGACTAATTTCTTGACATCACAGTAGATCGAATGTATGATAATGCTGTGTGGCCTGTTCATGGGGTTCATCTAAGGTCAGCTTCCATACTTACATCCAATTCGAATGTTTGTAGCACGGTCCTGTATCCTCCAGATACTGGCGGGAGAAACCGCAGCACCTCCTTGACGACACAGTCAATGTAACGGAGCTGGCTTAGTTTCTCCATAGTTAAACAAGGAATATGAGACCGAGAACACCGTGCCTCTTCGTTTTCATCCGGTGCGCAATGAACAGTCCCGTTCCCATTCATCAACGGGGTGGTCTCTGCGTTTAGAGGCCGATGTTCCCCTTTTTCGGCCGCAAGAGGACATTTCATACCATTTTCTTTGCCGGAGCAGCTGTGGGCGCTGTGTGAGTCGTAGCCGAGACCCTCTGACTCCAGCTCTATCTGGGCTTTCTCCACCACAGCGGGGTGCCGCAGGAGCTGAAGAATAAGCGAAGTGGAAGCACTGGCCGTAGTTGAGTGAGCAGCAAATATTAACTCCACCGCGGTTTCCTAGACACCAGAGACAGAACACAATTAACCTTTTATTTAGGCTACAATATTGGGCATTTGCTTTGGTGATTCAAAGTAAATAATAGGTAATTTCAACTTACTAGGCAATAAACTTCCAAATAAGACTATACAATGGAAAATGTGGGATGTTGTATATTACATTTATATGGCCAAAGCAGAATGGATAAACTATAATTTACCTTCAACTCCTGTATGGTGAGTTCATGTCCGTTTTCCTTGGCACTGCTCAACATGTAATCGAAAGCGTCATAATACTCCTCAGACGGTTGTTTCTGCATTTTCTCCTCTATGATTTTCTGCATGCACGTATGTAGGATTTCCCGGGCTTTAATTCCCTGACAAGAAAACATAAATCAGCATAGTCTTATCGATATTTAGCTGCCTTGATAAGATATTTCCATCCGGTGTTTGAAATTCTATTATATGTATAACTGTCCATTTTGTTCTAATAATAAATTGGGATGTGCAGGTTTTTTGTTATCCATGCAAGTTATTAACTATAGCAAAATAGTTCATCATGCCACACCATACAATATGAATTAGGCTACAATTGTTTTTTGAGAACATGTAAAGATATTGATAATAAATAGGAGTTATCATTTCTGGGTTATAATTTCTCTGCATTATCCAAACCTTTTAACAATGATTAAAACATAAATAAAATATGCAAATAATTGTACAGCATTATAACATTGTTGGCTATAGGCCTACTCACTTTGCGGAGGCCACTCATAGGTGCGTCAATTGGTAATGAGAAGAGGTTGTTCATGAGTTGCTCAAAGATCTTAGAAAGGTAAACTATGCGTTTTTCCTCCATCTTCAGTCCCAACAAGACTCTGACGGCAATGCGAAATGTGAGAGATTTGGCTGCGACGTAAACATCCACTGGGCCAGGCTCCGAGCACCATTTTGCAATTTCAGACTTGACAATATCTTGCATGCGGGGTAGGTAAGTCTCCAAGGCCCCGCGGCTAAACACTTTTGCCAAGATCTTAAAGGAAAGAAAAGCATAATAAAAAGTTATCACCTGGTTGGTACAAGGCACTCCAGACAACAATTGAATAATACTTGAGACGAAATTAATTATCCCTATACTTATCTATTTATTACCTACGCTACATGTAATAACTCAATAACAACAGCAGGAAATGAAATGGATATTTTATTGCCTTGATTTCACTCTCTGGCAAGTAGTAGGCCTATTCTGCATTTCCTTTGAAGATGCGTTCAGTTTGCAGGCCTAGAAGATGACCATGCCTCACCAAGTTATCTCCGGCAGACTATATGCCTATGAGACATTTTGAGGAAATAGATTTTACTAATCGTTTTTACTAATCTTCTTTGCGTCCTTACTTTTCTCTTCTTCTTGTGCAGCTCTCCGATAGAGTTGACCAGGGTGTTTGGTCCCAGGATAATCCGGGTGCTCTGGGGCCACTGCGTGCAGACCAAGTTGTGTTCTCCAAGCAAGATTTTACGGATGTTTTCTGCACCAGTTACCCGGATAACAGGCTTTCCTAAAAGGTGAGTTTTAAAAACGTTGCCATGCTTCTCTCTCCTGGAGATGTGGAAGTTGGATCCCTGTCATAAAACACAAACACACACAAAAGCTGTAAAGGAGGTGTTAATTTCACGTGTACTATAGAGGGCGCGTAGCCTTATGGCTATACCCGTGCCTCTTAGTTTACGCCCAGTCTGGAAGCAGAATGCATTCCTACAGGAAAGCGGTGTGGAATTGAAGTGAAAACGTCTGTTTTCACCGCAAGAATGAATTACACGCGCTCATCAAGTCCACACATGTATAGTTCCATGGACACATGAACTAGGCCTACCGAACTGAGATCAAATGTTTTTTTAATAAGTTGTGTGCTGTTTTTTTGTTTACATAATCTTTTCATAACACGAATTGCATGAGATAAAGCAATCTTTTTTTAACACAAACCAAATTATTTAGCTCAACACATGCATGGTGACATACGTCGCTTAAAGGCCTATAGCCTATCTTGGAACGCTTATAAAAAACGAATTACTCCTCACCTGAAAGAGCCAGTGGAAAGTTTCTCCCACCAGCGGCCAGCCCATGGACCCATTGGGTAGCGGGAACTTGCACTCCTTGTCCCGCGTAATGGTCCACCGGAAAGTCCACAGTTGCCTGGAGACCGCAAGCAGGATCAGGGCGGAGAGCACAGACGTGAGCGCTGTGACCAGCGCTGACAAGTGACTGAGCTCCAGAAGGAACATTTCCAAACATCCACGTGCTACTGTGCAAATTCTGACGCGTGCTTCTTTTCTCTGTCCAGGACAGAGAAAACATTTCCATTGGAAACAAACAAACAAAAAAACGTTCATAGAGCTTTTAGGTTGAAATTGTTTTTAATGCAACTTATTTCACTTGTAAGATGTCAGACACATATTTATATGGCAAGCCTGGTTTTTTATAATTATGCAGAATAAATAGTTGAAATAGGCTGAACGAAATCTAATAGGCTAAACGAAATTAAATCTACTGGAACTCTAATTCATTCCGCCTCCATTTACTTCCCCTTGAATGACGAGAAACTGACAAGTATTCCAAAAAGTTTTACAGGTTACATGCGCCGGCTTGTCTATTTCTGTGGGTTTATACAGTCCAGGGGGCTCAATAACCCCAAGGCGTCCCGCGTTTATAGTGCATGGCAGGTAATAAATCAGGCAAAAGCTGGGGGGATAAATTCACATTGATTGAAATACAGTACAGTTGGCCAACTTTTGAGAAGTCCAAGGCGGATGCTGACTAAGAATAATAGTATATTCCTTTAAAATGTAGCCTAAATTAAGAGTGTTTGAATCTTGAGAAAAACACCAAAACACCAAAGAAAACAACTGGAATATTGAAGAAGGGGATGTAGAGAGTCTTACCTCGTCTTAAATATAGAACCAAGTCGCTGACAGCAGCGAGAAACTCCAAACGTATTCCTCCACAATGTATTGTTCGCACTGTGCTTTATAAATATTGGAACACTACATGATCCACCTTCGCAGATGACGTATAACGTTGTTTTGAATATCTAAAGAGCTTGGTACATCGCCAGGATTGGAGAAAAGTTTGTGATCATATAGCACTCGGAGATTGAGTGAGCGCGAGCGGGGCGTCTTTGAAAGAGTGTGTAGGGTATGGGGATCGAATGGCAGCAGATTGAGGAGACAGGTAACCAACCAATCGCTGAAATCCCTCAGTTTGACTGACTCTTCTGTTCACATAGACCAGTCCTCAATAGGTACGGACATGGTGCAATGCCTCTGTGTTGCCTGCGTGAAAAATAATAGATATAGGCCAACACATTAACAAAAACCTGAACAAGTTTTCATGCTTTCAAGATGAATTCAACCTGCAAAATCATAGGCAATATTTTCTCTCTCGGATAAATAGCACTATTTACATTTTCTATAACTTAATCTAACGGGAGCAAGTTATCCCAAATCTAGGTTTCCGGATGATTTGTCCTGTAACTTTACGCAGTTGAATTTCTTCCTATTTAATGGTCAAATCACAAACTAAACGTGTTCATTTAAAGGCACAATTTTGAATTTTAGATACTATATAAAAAAAGTCAAAATAAATGTCAATATAAGACACATTAACTTTCATTCAAAACTTCGGAGAATGCTTTAGGCGCGGTTGTGTTAACATTCTTCTGATTATAAATGGGTTTCCTCTCATATTCACTGTTGATGAGTGATGGCTGGGTGGAAGCGTTCCCCAGAGAAGCAGATCACCCGGTTGCCTCAGTTCTTCCAGGTGGGTTCTTTTTCCGTTCATGGAACAGACGGAACACCTGTTGCACAGTTTGGATTGGAGGCCAAATTCGCCACCTGAATGTTAAAATAAAGTATTTCAATACAAGAGGGTAGCCTAAAGTCTCATAATTTTAATAAAAAATATTTGTATCTACTGAAAGAAATCGAAAAAAGTGATAAATGATGACATGATAAAATAGATAATTGCGTTGCAAAATAGTCTGTCTTGTGTTTTTTATTGTGAGATGAAAATTGTGATTTTATCTTCAGGGGGATTTTAAGTATAATTTCAGACAGTGGCCTCACATTGTAAACAGTTAATTATCCAACGTTGTCACTCTCTACGATAATTTGGTGTGTAATGACCCTTTCTAGCTAAATCTATATGGCTGATGAACATGTTTGGACACTTTTTTGTATAGCCAACAAGGGTCAAGTAATTTTCACCATTAGGACCTGTTAAGTACCACTAAACTATTAACAGTTAGCCTTTATAACAGTTAAATGAACCATTTCCCAGTTTTTCTCATAAGCCTGTTATACACCCAATGTGGTGGGCACCAGTAGAAGGATATTAACAAATCTTAATTGAGCCTTCTATGGCAAAAGCTATGTCATAGTGAGTATGTGTCCCTTAAAGTGGAACTGACAGCATTTTAACTACTTTGCAGATATGAAACAAACAGACAATCATAATATCAGTAAAAACAAATCAAATTCCCAGTTTATGCAAAAAAAACAACAACTTTATAAGAGGTTTTAAAAATAGGTTATATTTTACTTAAAATTCCAATGCATAATTAATATAATTCACCAATACATTTATTTGTAGTCCAACAAATATTGCTATCAGGTTGTACATCACAGCTGGCCTAGTAAATAGGTAGTCCCCTGTAGCTCAGTTGGTAGAGCATGGCGCTTGCAACGCCAGGGTTGTGGGTTCGTTTCCCACAGGGGGCCAGTATGAAAAATTTATGCACTCACTAACTGTAAGTCGCTCTGGATAAGAGCGTCTGCTAAATGACTAAAATGTCAATTGTTTGCTTCCTCCAGCCATTTGGGATTCACTGTTTAAATTACTCAATATTTTGGACAAAAACGGACGAATGCTGGGAATGTCAATATAATCAAACTAGTCAGCCATAACGTGGCTAATAGGCTAGCGTATCTATTTATATAGCTATGTATTTGGCAAGCTAAAAACATGGAGCCTAAGTTAGCTAGCTAGCTAGCTAGCTGCTGGGAGGATGTTATGTCATTGGCCGAGTGGGCGAATGACTGACTCCCCCCCCCCCCCCCATATCATTTTTCTGTGGCTACAGCTATAGATAAAGGTGTAATTTGGTTAACTATCAAGAAAAGTGAATAACTTTGCTAGCTATCTATGCTGAACTTGAACGACTGTTATCGACAGTTAGCATATCTCTTAGTTGTCAATTAAATGTATTTGGCATCGTTCAAATGTGCGGGCAGGCAGGCAAGTTCCCATTCAGTTGTCAAAACGTGGGTTGGGACAAGCATGCTTTGGCAGGCAAGCTGCAGAAAGGCGAGCAGGCTACGATTTCCCATCGTTTATCAGTGCAATTTTGACGGCCAACTACAAGCTGAAAATGTTTGAGAGGGTTTACCTACTGCTCCCGCATTAGAATTGAGCTCATCTAGCTCTGGCTAACATTAGTTGTTATCTTGTTGTTGTTGATGTGCATAGACAACTGAGAGAGAGAGAGCCTACCTTTTCATGGTTGTTTGATTAATAGGACTGTAAAGTTCCCAAATGTAAGAGGACACACCGGTCTGTATAAAGTCTGGTCCTTGACAAGACAGATGTTTTTATTAGGTTAAGTTTATTTACTGCAGTGCCTATTAATTGTCCAAATGCACGGCCGTTTTCCCACTCTATAGTGCTATAGAATTTTCACAAATGCCTTACTGTACATCATTCCCAAACATTCTATGAATGTATGAAAACATGAAACTAACCATATCTACATTTTTGCTTATTAGAAAATGTTTAAAAAAGGCATCATATTGTTGCTGGGGGTGTATATGAACAGATTTTAATACGATTTTATGTTGCTAAAACGCTGCCAGTTCCACTTTAATTGTGAGATTACTACTGGTGTTGTCCTATTGAGTGACAGAGTATGTGTTGTTGTTTTCTATCATGACATAGTCAATATATAACCTGACCTTAGTCTTTGCATGCACCTTGTCTGTTGTGCTGTGCTTACTGTTAGGTGACTCAGCCAGGCCAGACTCTAGTGGATTCCAGCCTAATTAATTGAAATGGTAAAATTATGGCTTGGGGTGTCATTTTAATGTTTTTCATTTCCATGGCAATTTCCTGCCGTCCACTATAGGGCAACACAAGCGCCTTTTACCATCTATTAGGCTCATGGTTGGGGTTGAGGATGCAATGGCTCCGATGATCGCGGGTTTAATCCCAGAGCCAGGCACTTGTTTTGTAATTTTTGTTTTTCAGTTATAACCCTATCTCAAAGCTTAACCCTTAACTTAACAATTTTGAATTAATACCTAACCTTAACCGTTTTAATCCTATCCCAAACCTTAATCCTTACCTTAACCACTCAGAATTAATACTTAAATGGTTAACCCTATCCCAAACCTTAACCCTTACCTTAACAATTTTGAATGAATACCTAACCTTAACCTTTAGTTAGTTTTGGTTAGTTTTGGTTTCACTGTTGCGCGGTTTGACTGACAGCTAACATAGGGTAAAATAATGTATGTAGTAATTAAAATGGCAACACAGTCCTAATCTACACTGTAAAAAGGCTAACTTAACCAATTGCTTAATCAGCGTTATTCTGTGAGTTGAATGGACTTCATTGTCATATTTCCCAGCATGCACTATTGCAGGTTTACTTTCAGAATTGTTTGTTTCAATACCTGTGTTTTTGCATGTACATTGATTGGTTGATTAATCTTATCCTACACAAACATAAACAACATTTCTCTAAACGAATCCAATTTGTTAGTAGTTGGACTTTTTGCACCTGTTACTGAGACTACCTAAATCATACAGTTTATATGATTTAGGCAGTTTCAATAATCAATCTTCCCTACCCCAGCAGTCATTCTCAAAGCAGATTGTGGGTGATTAAAAGTTCAAATTGTTGGATATCCTCACTCCGGCTGGATTCCAATAGGAATTACACATCACTTTGCAAGCCAGCAAAATGTGACTTGCAGGCTTGATGTGGCCTGTAAGCCAGGAGTTTCAGACCACTGCCTTAGGGTGTAACTAGGCCCTCATAGAAAGGCCTTATGATATACGTAATGTATTGTCATAAAGAGTTACATTTTATACTGGGAAATATGCAAATAAGGTACAGTGCCTTGCAAAAGTATTCATCCCCCTTGGCGTTTTTCCTATTTGGTTACATTACAACCTGTAATTTAAATGGATTTTTATTTGGATTTAATGTAATGGACATACACAAAATAGTCCAAATTGGTGAAATGAAATTTAAAAAATAACTTCATAGCAAACCCCCTTTGCTATGAAGCCCCTAAATAAGATCTGGTGCAACCAATTACTTTCAGAAGTCACATAATTAGTTAAATAAAGTCCACCTGTGTGCAATCTAAGTGTCACATGATCTGTCACATGATCTTAGTATATATACACCTGTTCTGAAAGGCCCCAGAGTCTGCCACACCACTAAACAAGGGGCACCACCAAGCAAACGGCACCATGAAGACCAAGGAGCTCTCCAAACAGGTCAGGGACAAAGTTGTGGAGAACTACAGTGTCACGAATACCGCCGAGGCTGCTCCTCCTCCTTGTTCGGGCAGGCTTCGGCGTTCGTCGTCCCCGGAGTACTAGCTGCCACCGTTTGATGTTTTCGATGTTTGTTTGGTCATGTCTAGTTTAGTGCACCTGTTTCGTATTCTGTCCTGATTATGTCACCTATAAGTTTCCCTGTGTTATGTTTTGTAGTTGTGTGTTATTGTCCGCCTGTCGTTTGGTGTCAAGGTTCGGTACTTTTGTGTTTAGAGTATTTTACGCATTGCACGTATTAGTTCGCCTCCGGTGTTTTCGAGGCCATTTACTTTGTATTTGTTCATGAGTCTCAGTAAAGTCGTGTTGACTTATCCTCTGTGTCCTGCGCCTGACTTCACCACCGCATCCACATAAACAACGTGACATACAGATCAGAGTTGGGTTAT